ACTTTTTAAAAAGCAATCAATAATATATCCTGAGATGGGGCCAGAGAGATGGTTCATTGGGTGAAGACGCCAAGTCTGGTGATCTGAGTTCGATTCCCAGGATGCACACGGTGAAAGGAGAGAACCGACGATTGCCTGTTGTCCTCTGATCTCCACAGACTTGCTGTGGCATGGGCTTTCTGTTTCACATCCCCACACAAATAAACAAATGTAATGTAACAGAGTCATTCTATAGAACATGGCTTAATTTGCTATACCGAGCAAATTTATCTTTTAACAACACAGTGTAAGCACATACCATACATTTAAATTATCCAAGGCACGACGACCTTTTGATGCCTTGGCATCTACCACTTAGGCCTGTCTCCTGTGTTTGTAATAGTCACTACCAGTTATTTTTCAGAACTATTTTTTGAGTGCCTCTCTCTCTCTCTGTGTGTGTGTTGATTTTTGAGACAAGTCTCTCTTCGTAGCCTGAGCCAGCCCAAAACTCACTATGTAGACCAAGCTAGCCTCCTACCCTAGCATTCTTCTGCCCATCTCCTGAGCTCCAATGTACATAATAGGGCATGGCTATTTTCAACCATTTCTGATAATGCCACATTGATTCTCAATGACTCTCTACCAGTTCATATGACTGCTACCAGATTAGTGCTTCTGGTATCATCAGACTCTTTATTTAGACCCTGGGAGGTCTAAAGTGGAATCCCACAATGCTATTGATGTGTATTTCCTTGTGTACTCAAGAGGTTAGGTGTCTTTTGTGTGCTTATTGGCCTGCACTTTTTCTTTAGTGAAATATCCAAGTTTTTAAAGCAGTTTTTGGACTCTCTTTTTGCTCATTTTTTTTTTCATATTCCAGATGCCAACAGAGTTCATCTAGGAGTGTTCTGAAGACAGTGTGGATTTGGACAGATGAAGACACATTCTGGTTGTGTCGAGGGCATCCCAGATGAACTACACATTAGGGACAGAAAACTCAGGAAGACAGTAAGTGTGTTTGGTAGACAGTGATGCAGTAGTGGACTAGAGATTAATCCAGACATGTGTGCTTACTCTATTTGTGGGTGAGCCAGAGGAAACACATTTTAAATTAATTAATCAATCCCAGACCTTTGGCCAACCTCACACTACATCCATCCTCTAGTATGGTTAAATAATGACAGCTCACTTTTCTCAGACTGCCCTGTAAACAAAATGTGCCCATGAATACAGAATATACACCAGTGATGTCTACACCCTATTTCCCGCCCTCAGCCTGGGAGTTCTATGAATGGACTTTACTTTTGAGGGGAGAGGTTCTCCTGACTTAATTGGGTGCCCCCAGGTAATCACTTGACTCCTCAAAGTACAGAACCTTCCCCACTGAGTCAGGGCCCCCCATAACCATGTGCTCAGTGAGAACCTGCATTTCTGACTTTGACGATGAAGGAAGGGTACACAAACTAAGGAATGTGGGTTCCCCAACCACCTCAGTATCTTAAAAAAAAACACAGCTCTGGTTACACTTTAGTTTCAATCCTATGAGACTTATTTCAGTGTCTAAAAAAATAAAAAATAAAAATACACAAATTGTCATCTAGCCCAGACAGACCTTGAATTCCACAGGTCTCTGAGGATGGCCTTGAACTCTTGACCCACCTTCTTCCACCTCCCAAGTGCTGGGGTTATAGGCAAGCACCCTGCTCTCATTTTAGTTTTTTTTTTTTTCCCTTTTAACGTACAAATCTGTGAGATAATTGCTTTGTATTGTTTATTCCAAAAGAAGAAAAAAATACCTGTGGCGGCTTGCAAGACTAACAACAGAAAGCTAGCATGCTACAGGAATGGGAATATTTGGATTCAAAAATTCAAAAGCAAAGGTAAGTTTTGTTATTTTAGCTACCTTCGGAGAAGAAAGAGACTTGAAAAATTTAAAATCATGTTGCACTTCAAAGGGCTTGGGAGGTGTGCGTTTGAAAAGCAAAGACATTGAGCTCATTTTTTTCCATCTGCATACAAAAATACAACAAAAAAAAAGTCAAGCACATAGCTGTAACTTGCATTCCTTGCCAAGTGAGCAAATCTCCACCTGGTCTTTGTGTCCTTCCCCTCTGCTCCCCACACTGCCTGACTCTCATGGCACCAGTCCCAGTAACACTGACTATCTACCTAATCCTTATTCCATTTTGCTCCCTAGATCTCCCTCGAGGGAAAACTACAGCAATTCTACTCTGCCAGAATTGTCCATGTAATTAAAATCATCAATTGTCATTTGCAGGGAGCCCTACGTAGTAGGGATGAGGGGAAAGTTATACATTCAAGGCCTGACTTTTGAGTAACCTTGGGAAGCTTCCTTTACAGTTAAAGCTTATTTACATATATATTTAGAAAGCCATAGCTAAGCATTAGAAACATTTTTTTTTTAAAAAAGCAATCAATAATATATCCCGAGATGGGATTGTTCTGGGGCCAGAGAGATGATTCATTGGGTGAAGACGCCAAGTCTTGTGATCTGAGTTCGATTCCCAGGATGCACATGGTGAAAGGAGAGAACCGACGATTGCCTGTTGTCCTCTGATCTCCACAGACTTGCTGTGGCGTGGGCTTTCTGTTTCACATCCCCACACAAATAAACAAATGTAATGTAACAGAGTCATTCCATAGAACATGGCTTAATTTGCTATACTGAGCAAATTTATCTTTTAACAACACAGTGTAAGCACATACCATACATTTAAATTATCCAAGGCATGACAACCCTTTGATGCCTTGGTATCTAGCACTTAGGCCTGTCTCCTGTGTTTGTAATAGTCACTACCGGTTGTTTTTCAGAACTATTTTTTGAGTGCCTCTTGGATGCTGGCATTGAGCTAAGGACTTGGGATACAAAGATGCATAAGCAAGACCATGGTCCTTAAAGGACTCATGAGTAAAGGAGACTCACATCCATAAACTAGAACACAGAATCAGAAGTATTAAGATACATGATAGTTAATATTGTCAGCTCAGCAGGAGCTAGCATCACAAGAGATAAGCTTCTGGGCCTGTCTGTGATGGATTATCCAAGATTAGGTTGATTGAGGTGAGAAAGCACACTCTAAATGTGGACAGCATTATGCCACGGCCTGGGGTCCTGATGGGATGCAAAAGGGAAAGTGAGATAATCAACATTCATCACTCTCTGCTTCAGGACCAACTGCCTCAGGCTCCTGTTGCCATGACTTCCATGGCAAGACAGACTGTACCCCGGAAGCCTGGACCAAAACAAACTCTTCCTTAAGTTACCTTTGCCAGGGATTAGGTCACAGCAGGAAGTGAGGTAACTAATACAGGCTACATGGATATTCAAGTCTGCAAAGTTACCCCAAAGATAGGGCTAATCATCTCTCGTTGCTGAACTTGGCCATGCCCTGATGGGCTTGGTTCTACAAGTCTATCTCTTCTACTTTAGCCAGGCTCTTTCCCATTGGTCCTTCCTGGCCAGCCAAGGCAAGCCTTGAGCCATCTGGTGGGACTTTTCTGTCACCTGGAGACCTTTCCAATTCTTCCCACATTGGCTGTATATTTTTTGAGTCCTGTAGTTTCCATTCTTAGCTTCAATTCTTATTTCCAGCATTTTTGGCATTTCTTGTATTAAATGATGGCATCTGGTTTTCCCGGTTTTGAGTCACTTAAGGGTTCTCCTAAAGGAACTTCTCTTTGACAACCCCTCAGAGGCTTCCTGCTTGGGAATCATCCTTGTTGGCTCTCCAAGTTCTGATTTACAGGATTATCACCAGCCTAGGCAGGTCTTTTTTGGTGTGGTTGTTTAAGCTGGCCATTTAGAGGTCTACTGTATAAGCTTAGCTCAGATGAACAACAGTCTCTTCTGCTATGACAAAGGCCAGTCAAAAAGCAAGAGATGACATCTGTAAAATGCTTTCTTCCTTACATTCCATTTCTCTTCCTCCGTGCCTTTGAGCATCCCCAGGCTTTCACACACACACACACACACACACACACACACACACACACACACACACACACACACACCCTTGAAACAGTCTCTCCTGCAATGCTTACTATTACTTCCTTCCTTTAAAAAGTAATCTATGTTAATTGTATTTTTGATGACTGTTACCACGGCTCCCCTTTCCTCCTTTACATGCGGTTTCCTCCTTCCTCAGCCTTTAGTAAACCCTATTACGTCTATTTTTTTATTGTTGTTGTTCTTCTGAAGTAGGGTTTCATTATGCATCTCTGGCTGGCCTGAAACTCGTTACAAAGCCCAGGCTGGCCTTGAACTTTCACTGATCCTTCTGCCTCTGCTGAGATTACAGACACATGCTGCCAAGCCTAGAGCTCCTGGGTACTTGGGTTGACTGGTTTTCCTAAATCATCAGCAAGAACCTTGAAGGCTCCAAGCATAAAGTAATGTTAGCCAAAATGGAAACACTAATCACCATCATTTTAAACACATATTATCCGTGTGGCACAAATACATGTGCCAAAATATTATATTGTAATACGTAATAAACACAATTACTAAATGTTAATAAAAAACTCAAAATAATATACAAGGAAAGACAACGTTAACTTTACCTGTAGCTTTCTTAACTTTTGCCTTGTCATTTTTCTCCTGTCACTCCAATGAAATGACCCTTCCAGGGTCATCAACGACCTTCTGGCCTCAAGCCCAATGCCTCCTTCTCTGTTGTGTGGCTTTGTTCCTGTCCACTACAAAAGATCTGCCTTGCCTTCTTACACACTCTCTCCCTGATTTCCCCTGCATTGCTTGTTTGTGGTTTTTTTTCTTCCTATATGTTAGCTATTTTCTCTTAAGATTTTTCCACACCTATCTCTTCCCAGTCCTTCTCCTTATTTCTTCAACAGTTTTCTGTTTTTCTGACTCAAGACATGGTACCTGAATGCCTTATCCACAGTGAAAATATTGCTATGATAACTGGACTTCAAATCCTTGTCTACAGCCGTGGACTCTCAGCATGCCCAGGCAGATCGACCTGAGTACACCTGAAATGCTCTGCCTGGATGGACCACAAGTATTGTAGACGGAACCCTGTCCCAAACCAAACCCATCAGGTTGTCCTTTGTGCTGTGTTCCCTGCTGTGACTTCTGTTCCAGCGAGGGCTGTGGTTTGAATGTCTCAATTTGGCTCACAGACTTGGTATCGTGACCTCTGTAGATTTCTTTTTCTTTTAAAAAAAAAAGATTTTAGTTTTATATTCATGTATGTATCTGTGTGAGTACATACACGTGTGTGCAGGTATCTTTGGAGGCTAGGAAAGGCAACTGAATGCCCTGGAACTGGAGTTACAGATGGGTATAGGCCACCTGATATGGGTGCTGGGAATTGAACTGTGGTCCTCTGTAAGAACAGTAAGTGCTCTTAACCCCGGAGCCACTTATTCAGCCCATTTATTGTTGTGTTTTTGTTTTGTTTGTTTTTGGGTTTTGTTTTTTTTTTGACACAGTTTTGCTAGGTAGCCCATGATAGCCTTGGGAGTCCTGAGATTGCAGGTTTGAGCAGATGGGGCCCTGGTTCTATTAGACTTTTACAGCTTCATCTTCTATATCTTCCCCACCTCCCTCCACCCTGGGCTCCACAGTTAGGACTATATCATATCATAGTCTCGAGTTATTTGGTGACACAAACTTTTTTTTCTTCTTCTTTGGTATCACTCATTGGTTGTTAACGATGAGGTGTTCTCAGGACTACAGCACTGAATAATAGTTTTTACTTATGTATTTCTCTCTTGCATGGGGCTTCACAATTATTGAAAAGTTTTGATTTTGAATTCCTTATTCTACTGCCGTGCCACCACATAGGAATAATATACTTCTTATCTGTTCATTTAAAGGAAACTGAATGTTCTCACCTTTCACGGTCAAATATCAGAGGATATTCATATTTCTGCTGCTTCTCTGTGAACTTGCTTTCTTCTTTTATCTCTATGGGATATTCATTAACATCACAAGGCAAAATGACATCAGTTGTTTGAGCTAAATC